TCTTGATATGGGTGACCATGATGGCACGCGCGGAATTCTTGATGAAGTATTGGCTGAGGGTAATGATGAGCAAAAACAAGAAGCCAATGATTTGATGTCAAAACTAGACTAGAAATAAAAACACGCGGCAGCATAGATAGAGAAAACATTTTTTCGCTAAACTGCTGTAAAATAAAAAACGCCATTCTGTTTAACAGTGTGGCGTTTTTTATGGCCATGCAAATAAGTAATGACGAAGTCTGAACAAATACAACAGAAAGCAAACACCGCGCCTAGACAAAGAATAGTGTTAGGTGTGGAATATAATGGCAGTGGTTTTAGTGGTTACCAAATGCAATCACATGGCACTCGTACGGTTCAGGATGAGTTGGAAAAAGCCTTATCGAAAGTAGCAAATCAGCCTGTTCGAGTAACCTGTGCTGGTCGTACGGATACAGGCGTACATGCTACAGGGCAAGTGGTGCATTTTGATACAAAAGTGCAGCGTAAGTTAAAAGCTTGGATGCTGGGTGGAAATACCAACCTACCTGGCGATGTTTCAATTCATTGGGTGCGTCAGGCCGACGACAGTTTTAGTGCACGTTTTAGCGCTATCTCACGTAGCTATCGCTATATATTATTTAATCGCAGAACACGTCCCGCTGTGTTTCAGCACAATGTTGCTTGGCAGTATGAACCGCTCGACGACGTGGCGATGAATACAGCGGCTCAATTTTTGTTAGGTGAGAACGATTTCTCAGCCTTTCGATCTTCTCGCTGTCAGGCAAACATCCTGTTAGAGTCATCAAGAATATGCAGCGTCGAACGTACAGGGCGCATTATGAGATTTTGATATCAAAGGCCAACGCATTCTTTACATCCATATGTGAGAAATAAAATGGGTACGCTGCTAACGATTGGCCGTGGCGAAGCAAACCTACTAGTGGATGCAAATGATTCCTTCAAAGTTTAGACAGAAAACAAGTGCAGAATGAGGGGGGGGCCAATTGCAACTGCCGGGCTTTGTATCGTTAATGTAATACCCCGAAGAAATGCGTTTAACCACTAATCTACGTAGCGTTGCTGCCTAAACATCGATTTAAGCTAAAGAATTTCTATGCGTACACGTGTTAAAATTTGCGGTACATTACCACAACGCAGGAATGTGCCACTTGCAGTGAATGTCGTGCTGAATGCTATTGTTTGGTGTTTTACGAAAAGAATCCACGATATGTATCCGAAGACTCAGGCGAAAGCCTGAATCAGTTAATCCCTCTGCGTTTGTAATTGTGTCGCGCTGTTAAAAGATTGCACATGGAATGAGAAACAATGATTCAAGTCTGTTTCTAAATCGATAGTAAGGCGATTTGTTCTGTTGTTATTTTTATTGATCTGATAACAGTTTCAATGGAAGTGAGAGCCGGTCGAGTTTGTGAGCCATTTAATCGGCTACATCAAAGCAACTGGTAGAAAGGCCGAATGTGATGTTTGAATTTACTTACGAAGTGAGTGGCTGAAAAGTATCAATTAGGCAAAAAGCTTTATTATTAGACAGTGCATGCACCCGGTCAAGCCGGAGGCACCTTGGCGAAACATTGATTGGTCAGTCATTGGTGAAATGAAAAACCAATCATACTTGCAGGCCGGTCTTGACGCGATGAAACAAATGTTAAGGCAGGCAATTACCAAATCGCACAGCCCTTTTGCGTGGATATGAAAGTAGTGGCGTAAGAAAGTACGGCCAGTACTTAACAGATTATAAGAGAAAAAGTACAACGATTTAAATGCAAGCAGTTGTTTTGGCTATATAACTAAATTCGGTTTACCTTTCAACAGAGAAAATTTTTTAGAGTACTTTTATGACAGAAGCTAAACGAAAAAAATCAAAACGGTTGACTATTCAGCAATGCCAGATGAACATGGCCATTTTGGTGTTATGGTGTCATCTTCCCCGCGTGCAGAACAAGCATCTAATGCTACAGGCAATTACCAATGAGTTACGTGATGCCTATGAAATGTTAAACGCGATAAAAAAGAATCTGTCAAAGGCAGTTTGATGAGGACTTAGGCGGCCAAATATGTTGGTCCGTCCCTACCCCGTTATATTTTCTGAGCGTTCTAAACAGAAAAAGTATGGTCGCGCCCAAAATATATTTGAAAGGGGGCGGGTTGTTGAAGCTTAAATCATACCGGCGCACAATCAAATTAACAAGCACCATTGCCAGGGTTTGCTTGCCAAGATGATGGGTAATGAATACGCATCATTGCGCAGAAACAGGTGGCAGGTAACCACGCGTGGCATCAGCCAAACCGTAAGCCGCACGTTTGTAATGGAAATGTGTTATCTATATGGGCGCTGAAGATATCGCTCGTCAAGCGCCCAACGTTTATCGCATGAAATTATTAGGCGCAAAAGTAGTTTCAGTTGAGTCAGGCTCAAAAACCTTAAAAGATGCATTGAACGAAGCCATGCGCGATTGGGTAACCAATGTTGATGATACCTTTTTATATCATCGGCACCGTTGCGGGGCCGCATCCTTACCCTGCGATGGTACGTGATTTTCAATCTATTATTGGTCGCGAAGCAAAAGAGCAATCAATGGAGCAGTTTGGCGGATTACCTGATGCCCTAGTCGCGTGTATCGGTGGCGGTTCAAATGCCATTGGTTTGTTTCACCCATTTTTAGCGGACGAATCTGTTGCCATGTATGG